TCCTTTCCTGCACAGCCATCAAAATCCGGTCTTTTGTCTTTAAAGCTGAAAAAACTTGTCAAGTAGATGTGTTTGTATTTCCCTGATTATGGTCTGTTTTTGCCTTTTCCACACAGCTTGGATTTCCATGCCCACTTCCCAGCTCCAGTGATTCTTTTGTGGCTCTGTCTGAGGACCGTAGCTTTGCAGTCAGGGCTCAAAATGGGCTGCTCATGTGGACCTGCCAGTGCCCAGGTGGGAGACCTAGGGTTATCTATATCTGAGATGAAGGGTAAAGCAGTAATCTGTGACTTTGAACTTCTGTTCTGTGTCTGCTCTGCTCCCTGAAACACAGTTAGCTCCTGTCTCATGCACTATTACCATCCATTGCTTCTACTCTCAGGCCAGTGCCTGCCCCTCTGCTTCTCATCATCTTCTCAGTTCTGATCACCAACATAATCTGTGGGCTGGGGTTAACAAGCTGCGGGCTTCCCGGTCAGGGAGGCACTCACATTTTCACTTAGGGAGCTGTTGGTTCCAGGAGAGTAAGATTTGTTTGAAAATTTGGACTGTTTGTTTTTTCCTTTAGAATTATTTACATTTTAAAAGGGAAAAACTACACTATTTTTGTTGTCACAGTCAAGCCTATGGAAAGCTACACAAAACCCCACACTCTCAGGAAACCACAAAATAATTAATTACTAGTGGCCATCGCTGCATCTCAAAACACTACTATGTTGTGGAAATAAACAAGGCACCAGCCGCCCCATTATCATTTTCTAAAGTATTTTCCTTATTACACAGGGACACTGTGATGGGAACTAGAATCCAGAGTCCTGTCCCGTATACCTGCGAAGCACAGCAGTGTTCATGCCACATCCGGAAATCAAACCCAGCCTAAGTTTAGGTTCTGCATGAAATAAATAGTCTTCTTGGAAGTAGACCGTTCCAGGAGCCAAATGACAACAGATTGGGAATAAAAACAAGGATAGGCGTGCAGATAAATGTGCTCTCTTCTTGTTACACAGAGCAAAAGGTCTGGGTGCTGTCCGCTGGGGCGAAGGAGGTTCGGGAGTGGACCATCACGCCTCACTTCCTCACACTCAGGAAGAGTTCAGCAAACCTCAAGAATCCATTTTTTTTTTTTTTCTAGTTCTGGGGATTAAACTCAAAACTGCACTCCAAACATTTTTTTTCATTTTGACACAGGGTCTTAAGTCTCTCAGTTGCCCAGGATGGGCTTAAATTTGTGAACCTCCTTCTTTTATTAGCAAGAAGAGAATCAAGAAAACTTTGTAGAACATTTAGACAGCTATTACTTGATTAGAATAAAATATTATAAAAGTATAATAATATTTTTACCCCTGCTTGGTGGGAATTCAGTTCTGTATGCCAGCCAAGAAAGCTGCACTTCAGTAACAAAACTTGGTATTTTTTACCCTAAAGATTTTCTGCTAACTGATGAAACTAAAGGGCATCTAAAGGGTAGTGTGTTTCCATGTAGTGATTCATTGACAATTCTTCCAAAATTCAATTACTCAAGCAGTTTCATTTACACAGCTCCTAAGAAATGACTTAGACATCCCTTTTCCCCAAAAGCTGATGGGGATTCTTGCTGACCTGAGCTCAGAGCACTGCGATATGAGGCAAGGAGCATAGTGTCCTGACTCCTGGGCCCTGCTGGGCTGTGCTGGTGGAGAAGTTGTGCTAAGACACACTCTCACTGCGGAAGGCCACGTCTAACATGACAGTGGTTTGGCCACGCTTTGCATCAAATCTAACACCAAAGAACATGAGGGATCACAAAGAGCATCAGGTGTTTCTTCTTGTCATCAATGACTAGGGGCTAGGAATGGCCGCAAGGGCTCATGTCATCCTGGTAACCACATCTGTCCCTCTACCCAGCACAGAACACCAAGGCACCAGGCATATGATGCAACCAAGGAGAGAACAAACAGAGCCCAGGAGAGGTGAGGTGCACGTCTGGGCCCTGGGGTTAAAGCCTTGGGTTTTCACCACTCAAGCATCTGAACTTCTCACAGGGCACTAGAACACTTGGTCCCCAGAGCTGTCAGACCTGGGCAGAATATGTGAGGGCTGCCAGTGGTGACTGAGGCCAGAACCCTGGTTCAGCTCCTTCCTGTCCCCTAAATGGGCCCAGAACAACATGCAGCTGCCAACCTGCCACCTGCTCGGCAGCGAGCTGAAGCAGGGCACTGGATCAGGTAGAATTGTGGGTCTTCCTGGGGTACTCAGCAGCCACCACATGCTTACCTGCTTCCTGTTGAAGCTCTGCCTCCTCCTTAGTAAATTCTCAGCCTTCCCACAGGCTAGAGGGTGGGCTGGTTCCCACACGGCACAGGCATTCCCCAAAGCCTATCCTCCAAATACCACATCCTGTCAACAATTTTTATCCCTATCCACTCCTTAGGTGTCAAGCCTGATTACCCATCTGGCTGGCAGCTGGGACAAATTCTCACGATCACTGAAAAGCTGCTTTCCTGGAGGTGCAATGAAGAGTGAAGATTTCCTTGGCTCTATTTGCTCATGACTGTGCAGGTTTGAATTAGAAAATAGATCAGAAATGACTGACACGATGTCGACATAGAGCAAGGGCTCGTATCAGTGGCTAGTATCATACTCTTATCAATGCACACTTCAAGTAGACTCTACATGTGTAAGGGGGGTCAACTGGGTGAGCAGGACCAGTCATGAGGCGCAGTGTGGGTTAATCCATCAACCGCATGAAGGAGACGGGGACATCAGTTATCAGTTGCCCCTTTCTCCCTTCACAGGCAAAGGTGAGAGCAGCCAATACAGTCGCTGGGGCTGTTTTAAAAAGCCAGTGGGGTCCATCTGGCACAGTCTAATGCTGACGTTAATTCCTGGTGAATGGTGAACTGGATCTTCTACAACCAGACAGAGGGATGTCTGTGTAAGTATATTTGGGAAGTTAACATTGAGGCTAAAGCAGCTCTAAGACACCATGTAGTCCTGGGGGTTTGTATGCTGAAAGTGTCACTAAGTGACTCCAACCATCAGCTGTGCCCCAAAGCCCTGTGGCACTCAAGTGTGGGATTGCAGGCTGCGGTCTGCACTGCTGTGGGCTGCGGTGCATGGTCTTTCCCCATCCCACTAGCTGCTATGTTTGTCACAGAGGCAGGGGCCAGCTGACTGGTGAGCCACACATGCTATTTCTATGCATAGGATGTGAGTAAGTACATGCCACAGTAAGGCAGACCAGGATGTGAGTCAGGTCATACTACAAAGTGTGGAAAAGAACCCATCTTCAAAGTGTGCTAAAAGGATCACGCCAAGCTTCAACAGTCAGCTTGAAAGATGCTTATAATTACTAAGGGAAGGAGGAATGCTGAGGAAGCTTAGAGTTGGTCAAAGGCCTACCAAGAAAAATGAGAAAGATGGAAGCCACAGTCTAGAGGCCTTAAATTTTTGCAGTAAAAAGGAAGATTTACCAGAACCACACCCTTTCCAGTATGCTTTGGTCAGACGTGTAGAACCAGTGAGGTAAGGACAGCTCAGAAAAGATATGGAACAGATACTTGCTTAATTTTCCTTTTAAAACAAACCATTTGATCTGCAGAACAACTTTTCTGGGACCAAATGATCCTCAACTGGTCCTCAATTGGCTCATTCGGGAAAAGTTCTTGGCACTGAGTGTAAAGATATACTAAGAGAGGTGACATCTATAATACTCCGTAAGAATAAAAACATGTTCACAATCGTAACACCCACAAATCAGCTAAGTACACTACTCTGTGTCCCTTTCACGGAGCCCAAGCAGCTGTTGAACAGTATAATTTGAACATTCTGACACGGAATGAAGTCTGAGATAAGTGGTTAGGGAGAAATAGCAAGTTGTAGAAAATGTCCATGGTAATCCTATTTCTGTTAAAAACGACATTTAGATAAGTACAGGAAAAAGCCTCTAAAGCATCAGAGAAATCCACTAAGAATTGTTATTTGTGACAGTAAGGGTTTTTAATAACCTTATTCATTTTTCAAATCCTTCACAACAAACAACTATTACTTTTATAATAGGGAATAAAACTAAAGAAGATTATTTATGAGAACAATAGTCTGAATGTGTCTTTTTCTCCAGCAGCCAGGCTCTTTGAAGCCTTGGGGTGGCTACGAGCACTGTGCATGCCGTGGTAGAATCAGGAAAGCACCAGGGATGGCTCTAAGCTCTCTGCAGGTCTACAGAGGCCGAGAGCTGGCATTTCTGAAACACCACAGGAAAGGGTGCAGTCAGGAAGCCCAGCCTTTGCCCCCACCGCAGCACCTTGCATGGCCTGTGCATTTGCACTGTTGCCTTGCAGGGGTTCGATGCTCAGCCCGGCTTGTGGCTGTGAGCTCAGCTCTGGCCCGCTAGCACTCCTCAGCGTGGCTTTACTGGGCTCTCAGAGGGCCTCATGGAAGCACCTTTCCTTCAAGGCCCAGGGTGCAGGTGGCGGCTTGGCCTGTCTCTGTGACTGCAGGAAGCCAACCCAATGCCCTCCTGCCAGGCATTTCCTCTTGGTAAGTCAACTGTGCCCTCTCATGTACCAGGCCCATCTGTCCAACCACTGGCAGCCCAGGCTTGTCTGCTGCAGGCTGGAGAAGCCACGAAATTGGCCGAGCCACGTCTGCTCTTCCCAGACCTCCTCTAAATACTAGGCTCTTTCCGTTCCCCAGCTCGTCCCCCAGGCAGCCCTACTCACTCTTCAGCTCTGAAGGTCCCCATACACCAGGACTCATGGCCGCATCTCTTAGTGATTTGCCTTTTCCTCACCTTCCATTTGGATCTGTGACAACCTGGCTGACAGCTACCTTCCTCCTTAGAACATAAGCTGCTTGAGGGCAGAAACTATGCCTGCCTCTGTGTGTCCCCGGGCAGGATTCCCACCAGTGCTGTCCTAGAGGATGAACAGAACATGACCAGAGAAGAAATCCTCTGTGTACTTCAGAAAGGGTCCCGGTGAGCTGTGGAGGAGGCAGAAGGTAGTGGGCAGGGAACTGACCTCGGCTGATGCGCTGCTTCTCCCCAGACAGGATGCCGGGGCTGTCGATGATGCTGATGCTCTTCAGGACCTGATTGGGCAGCTGGGAGCACATGAACCTGGAAGAGATGGACAGGAGGCAGAGTCAGAAAACAGGCCTCACTTTGGGATCTCTGATGTTCACAAAGGGGGAGTGTGGAGGAGTCCAATAAGGACTGAAGATGCCTAGGAAGCCATACAGCAGGGGCTTGGAGGAGAGGGACTGGAACTCTATTGGTGCCACAGAATAGATGCTGGGCCAGGGAACAAGTGTGGGAGGGGAGTGGGCACCTGCTGCTTCCAGCCGCCCGATTCCTCACTGATTACTGTGACTGCAGGTAACATTTATCAAACTCTCGAGTGTCAACCTATTGTCAACCTCAGAGATGTTTAGTAACCAGCTCAGAGGTACTCAGATCTGGGCTTGTGGCTTGACTGAAGCACCACAGCCTCCTGCTGCCCCCTGCCCACAGTCCCGGGCTTTTGCTGCAGGGATCCCCACGATTCTTTAGAGTTTTACTGCTCCTCTGAGAGGAGTACCCTAAGGTCCTCATCCTGTTCTGCTCATAGCTCAGCCAGAGAGCTGCAGGTATTGGGGCCCATGTTTCTGTCCTCTGCCCCAGGACTTCGTACTTAGCTCAGCACTCCTGTGGCTTTAAGTCAGCAAGGAACAGGCTCCTTCAGGGAATACCCCACATCCTTTGGGTGCTTGAGTCTTAGGGTGCCCTGAGAACAACCAGAAGGTCCAGACTGTGGGAAGCCCAGCTGAGCTCCTCTTTTGCTATGTCCTCATCTCTCCCTTGCCTGGTATTGCCGCTTCCTTCTGACCCCAGCCCTTCCTCCTCTGGCTCCAGTCAGCTGTCCAGTGTCTGCTCCACGAGAGCAGAAGGGGTAGGGAGAAAATATCAGGGCCAGCAGACCTGGGCTCAGCTTTCACTCAGCTTCTGCTATCATTTTCTGTGGACAAGGACCTCCTCCTCTGAGCCCGTTTCCTCATGTGGAAATGGGAACATCTGGACCAGACACCAGTGATGTCCTCTGTGGCTTTTCCCTGGGAAAGGAAGCACTCTGTTCCTAGCAGCCTGAGCAGCAGAGTATGGGCTGGATCTTTGCTAGACCCTGTGTATGTCTTAAGGAGGAACTCAGAGTGCCTCTCCTTTTCCTGTTTTATAAGTGCTAACTTCTGTATCTATGTGGGCAGAGAGCTTGAAAACACTCAGGCCCAAAGTGGGAAGGATAGGGGAAAGTAAATAAAGGAAAAGAAAAAAATATGAGAAAAGGAAAACATTCAGACCCAGCTCAATTCTTCCATTCAGGGTAAGTGGTGGGATCACTCAGAAATGAAGCATGCTGGGAATGCGGGGGTTGGGGGGCAGCCCAATAGTGCCTGTGGCCAGCACTGTTCCACTGGCAGGGAGGCGCCCCCAGAGCCTGAGGTGCCATTACTGACAAATAGAGATCACTTTCCCTTATGTGTCCATGGTACGTTTCATGCTTCTTTCTGATACTTCCAAATCAGACCAGGAATATGCAGGAAAAGATACCAGGACTACCCTTTTACAGGTGGAAAATCCAAAGCACAAGGTAGTTATGTTACTGAAGTCCTGTGCCCATGCCTGGCTGCCTGGAGGTGTGACCTGATATTTCTGATGTCAGGTGAATACAACTCAACCCATCAAATTTAAAACCTCATAATGAGCTGGGTGTGGTAGTGCATGCCTGTAATCCCAGCACTTGGGATGCTGAGGTGAGAGGATCCCCACCAATTAAAGGCCAGCCAGAGCTACATAGGGAAACCCTATCTCAAAAAACCAACCAACCAAACCAAACCAAACAAAACCTTGTAATGGTAAAAATAAAGGGTTCTGTTCACAGAGAGAAAAATACTACCATCCCTTTCTCTAGAGAACTGGGGAAGAAACAGAGCTTTGAGTACGTCTGAATTAGACCCGTTTCTTTCTAGCAGATGGCCAGGGCCTGTGGCAATGCTGAGCACATCGCAGCTACTTGCAAGTATTGGGGAGGTTGACCTTTCCCCCAAACCACAAGGTCACACTCAGTGTCAATCTTTTCAAAACACAAACACTAGATTTCTGGACCAGGGCAAGAGGGATTCAAAATATGCACACTTTTGACTCTGTGTAAAGTGACAGCATTACAATGGCTCCCAGGCCTCCTGACACAACAGCAGAGGCCAAATGCGTGGGCCAGAGAGCAAGAGGCAGTGAGAGGAGCTCATGGCACTGTACAACAACACACCAAGGGGCAGGTTGAGGGCTAAGAAGGCAGCCAAAAAGAGGAGGAGGAACCTGAACATTTCCAGGGGCGGATTGGATTGTGTCGAGAGCTGGACTCCTCTTCACACAAGAAAATACCCGGGGCAGAGGGTGGGCAGGGGAGAGGAAGCACAGGTCAGAACCAAGTACAGATGTGCTCTTAACGGCACATGCTACTATAATCAGAAAACTGGATGCCACTGTAGCAACTGGCCTTTCCTTTCCTTGGAGAAAGGACCACAGAGAGCCAGGTAATTTATTACATCCACCACAGTTGGCATAGCCTTGCTCCCGAGTTTCTGCTGAGACATTTCCAAGCACAGATGTGCCATCCCAAGATGGCTTCCTACTCCTTCCTAGAGGGACTAGCAACAAAAGCATGTACCGGGTCTCCTCCCTGTCTTTTAAAACATACAGACATGTGCTGCTTGGACCCAGAGCCTAGCTCAGCTTTCATGAGTGTCTTTCCCCAGAGTTTAGTGTTCGAAATAAAAGGAGGAGAGGGAGCAGTCAAGAGCTTTGCCAAGACCCCCCCACTCTATCTTCCCCATGTCTAGGGAAGGTCAGGTGACAGAAAGATGGGGACAAGGAGATGGCAGAGGCTGTAAGATCGTGGGGAGGCTGCAGGTGTCCTGTTCTCACAGTAAAAGGAGGTGGTGACAGGATTAGATTCAATTTTCCTCTAAATGCCAAAATGTCAGTGCTCAACATATATAAAATTAGACTTTTTTTTCCCTCATTGAGTTTATCGGTACATTTTAGGTATACAGTACAGTTACATTCATTATTGGGATCTTGTACCTTTATATATGACAGGTCTTGGTTCTCATTTTTTCCCCTTGTCCCTGCCCTCTCTTCACCCCTCCCCCCCTTAAAAACACTTCATTTCCATTTCTTCATTTTCTCATATTTTTTCTTTTCCCTTATTAGCTTTCCCCTACCCTTCCCACTTTCCCTACCCTTTAGCCCCTTTCTTCCTATTTCACATTGTCCATTATATCATTAGGATCTTATGTACTATTATAGTTTATTCACACCAGAGAAACTAGTCAGTATTTACACGTGTGACTTATTTATTTTACTTAGGAATATATCCTCAATTTTTATCCATTTTCCTACGAATGAATCTAATTTCTCATTCTTTATGGCTGAGTAATATTCCATTTTATAGAAAAATCACATCTTCTTTATCCAGTCTCCAACTGATGGGCAAATGGACCATTTTCAAGATTTAGCTATTACAAACTGTGCCGCTGTAAACATAGGGGCACATATATCTCTGTGATATGATTCCTTTAATTCTTTTGGAAAGATACCCAGCAGAAAGATGGCTGGGTCAAATGGAACCTCTAGTCCCAGCTCTTTGAGGTATCTCCATACTGATTTCCATAGTGGTTGCACCAGTCTGCACTCCTACCAAAAATGGAGAAGGGTTCCCTTCTCCCCACAGCTGCACCAACATTTGTTATTTTTTTATTTCTTGATAGCAGCCATTCTTTGTGGGGTGAGGTGGAATCTCAGTGTTTTCATCTGCATCTTTCGAATGACCAGTGATGTGGAACATTTTTTCATATATTTACTTGCTATTTTTACTTCTTTGTCTGAGAAATATCAGTTCATTTCAGATGCCCATTTTTGAATCAGATCTTTATATTTTTTTGGGAGGGAGCTGATTGTTTTGAGACACAAAATCAAATCCAGATGTACTCAGCTATGTCATCTTTGACAAAGGAGCTGACCATCCCCACTGGAGGAAAGAGAGCCTCTTTAATAAATGGTGTTGGAAAAACTGGATCTCAACCTGCCACAGATTAAAACTGGACCCTTATCTTTCACCATGCACTAAATTAAAATCCAAGTGGATGAAAGATCTAAATATTAAAACAGAAACACCAAACTTGCTGGAAGATAAATTAGGTAGAACTCTTGAAGACACTGGCATAGGAAAAGATTTTATGAACAAATCCTTAGTAGCGTGGGAACTAGCACAAAGAATCAACAACTGGAATCTCATCTTATTAAAAAGCTTCTGCACTGCAAAAGAAACCATCAACAGAACTAAGAGACAACCTACAATGTGGGAAAAAATTTTTACCAGCTGCTCCTTAGACAAAGGACTATTATCTAGAATATATAAAGAACTCAAATTAGACTTTTAAAAGAAACAGCTAGCACCTTCACAATGACTTTGATTTCTTAATGAAACAGTGATATCCAGAGTCGCTGTGGTACTAACAAGGTAGCACCAGCATTCCCTACCACTTACCTTGTGCCAGGCTGTTCTAAGCACCTTCTTTGCACATGAACTCAGTCCTTCTGCAACCCGAGCAGGTTCTGCCTGTCATCTTACAAAGGAGGAGATGGGGACCCCGAGGGTCCATGCATGACAAGTAATGGGGCTGGGGTGCTGTTAGGCTGGCAGTTCTGCCTGCATAATCCAGGGCCCTAACTCCTCAGCTACGAACCCCATGACACAAGACACACCAAGGTGACCTCCTCAGTGAAGGAGCAATGGCCCCAGCCCCGGAGCTGTCCCTCATGGGGCTTCCTGGTACGATTTCCTCTTTTCCTCCTGGTGTGGAGGGCTGGGCAGTGTCATCAAAACTAGGCTCAGAAGAGTCTCGTGAGAGTTGTGGTTTGCTCTGACTACTGCAGTCTGTGTGAGTGAAAAGATGCTAGTACCATGAGAGAATGGCTTGGTTGACCCACTGATCATGGATGTGTAGAAGATGAAACTTTTCCTCCTCTCCACCTCCAGCCTCTCTGCAGAGAGATGGTAAAGGGGCTAAACCTGATGAAGGCCT